GCCACCTCTGTTACGTATGGCTGATATACATGTCTCGATGCCAATCTCATTGTCCCACCCTCGCCTTCTCCCACATAGCCCAAAAGTCTGTTCTTTACACCTGTGTCTCTTCTGCTGTCTTGCATATAAGGGTTGTCATCACCATATTTCTAAATTCCATATATATGCGTTAATATACCGTATTGGTGTTTCTCTTTCTGGCTTACTTCACTCTGTATAATAGGCTCCAGTTTCATCCACCTCACTAGAACTGACTCAAATGCAGTCTTTTTTAACAGCTGAGTAATATCCCACTGTGTAGATGTACCACAACTTCCTTCTCCATTCATCTGCCGACGGACATCTAGGTTGCTTCCATGTCCTAGCTATTGTAAGCAGCGCTGCAGTGAACACTGGTGTACACGTGTCTCTTTCAATTCACTCCAGTGTTCTTGCTTGGGAAATCCCATGGACAGAGGAATCTGATGGGCTGCAATTCATGGGGTCAGAACAAGTCAGACACAACAAGCACATATGCACACACTCCCATCTAAACACCATGTAAGTCAACTCAGCCATGTCCGACTCATGGCGACCCCACGGACTGTAGTCCACCAGGCTCTTCTGTCCATGGAATTCTCCAGGCAAGAACACTGGAGTGACCACTTAAGTGAGCAAATAAAAACATTTCTGGAAAATGCCTTGATGAGGTATCATCCGTATTGTCTGCAGCCCCCAGAGAAGTGTCCTTGCTCTTCTTGCTCAGCAGGGAGGTGAGGGCTCCCCCTCTGAGGACGCCCTACTACTCTGGAGCGGAGGAGGGGAGGGCAGGAAGCACAATCCCTAGTGGTCTGTATCAGCCCCGGCTGGTGGGCTGGGCAGTGGGGCCAGGCGGCCAATGTCAACACAGATGGGACCCATTTCCGGATGAACTGGCCTCCTTCACAAACGCTCCCTCTGCACCGGCTGCATGCTAACTAAGGACCAGGCCTTTGATAGCTGCACAGCTCTCAGTGTGAAACAAAAACAAGAATCTGTTGAAAAGCGCAGCCCTTCCCAGAAATGTTTTCATGATGCATATGCATACTTTGGCTGGCTTCAGTCTCCCCAGGAGAGCGAGGGAGCTGGAGGGGCTGTCAAAGGCGCTGCACCCCGCCCTGTGACCTCAAGGGCTGAGAGCGGTTCTGAATTCGAAGAGCACAGGCCCACACTCCCACTGCCTGACCTGCAGGCCACACTGAAGGGGTCGCCAGCTCATCCAGGACCCTGGGCTGCAGGCGCATGGACTCTAAGGGCAAAACGGAAACGTGCACTGTTCCCTTCCTGTACAGAAGCCCATCAGCGTGACAAGGTGGGCTTTTTGATGTGGCCCTGACCTGGAGCGGTTGTCCCGGCGTTTTCTGCCTGGACATGAGGATCACAAAGGAAAGGAACACACACCGTCTTCAGAAGGTTAAAATTTAGTGCAGTGAAGAGAATGTCAAAAAGAGGCACTGCTGATCAATGGGCATAAAGTTTGCAATTACCCCAAATGGATAAATTTTAGAGGTCCACTGGATCCCACCCTCCCCCGTCTTTCACTTCTATCACCTGAGTGTAATTCACCAACTATGGGGCATAGAGGTCCACCTGGTCTCTGCCACATTCTGTTGGGGGGGCGGGTGGAGCTCACTTAGGTGTCAGCCAACCAGAGGGGAACGCTTATGCCCAAGAGGGCCTCACAAAGCCAGGTGAGGGCCCTCAGTTAGGGGCCTGTCAGGCCTGAAATGGGGGGTGACAAGATGCTAAGCATACTCAGAAAAGCAGCCAATGTGACCCCGCCTGCCTGCCTAGCCTCCAGGAAAAAAGAACGTCAAGAGACACTTGATAACGATTGCAAAAAGCAATGTTCAACACTAAAAGGGCTAAAAAGACAGAAAAGGACTCATTTCTCAGAGATCGTAATACACACAGCTGTGATAAAAGGCAGTATTCCTTTGACACGTGCCACAAAAGAGTTGAAAATGCAATTGTGGCTCAAAAAAATGAAATAACACCAGGTTGGAGCATCCTAAGTCTTACATTAGAAACAAATCCCCTTTGGTCACTTAGAGTTGCTCTAAGGATGGTCCCATCTGTTCTGCAGGCAGGCCCACAGCCCCTCAAGATTTAGCCCCCATTGCGGTGTGTTCCAGCCTCACCCACGGACGAGCCGCCCAAACCCTGTCACTCAGCCACACAGAGGGGCCTGCAGGCTTCAGTCCTTCGGGGTCTTTCTCGGGCTTGTGTTTTAATTTGTGATACGCTCTCTGCCTGTCATAGACTCCTACCCACCACATCTCTACCACCAGCCAAATCTCCTGGAGTCAACGTGCCAACAGCATATGACCAGCTGGGCAGAAGCCGACTCACCAAAGGCAGCTTACGGAATGACGGGCTCACTCGCTGAGTATCGAATGCCCTGAAAAACTACCAGGAGAATACTTGTGCTGTGGAGCATGAGTTTTAGGGCACAAGGGCTTCAGTAGTTGTTGCTCTCAGGCTCTTAGAGCACAGGCTCAGTAGCTGTGGTTCCAGGGCTCTAGAGCACAGGCTCATAGTCGTGGTTCCCAGGTTCTAGGGTACAGGCTCAGTAGTCGTGGCTCCCAGGTTCTAGAGCACAGGCTCAGTAGTCGTGGTTCCTGACTCTAGAGCACAGACTCAGTAGTCGTGGTTCCTGACTCTAGAGCACAGGCTCATAGTCGTGGCTCCCAGGTTCTAGAGCACAGGCTCAGTAGTCTGGATCCCGGGCTCTGGAACGCAGGCTCAGGAGTCACGGCACCCGGGCTTAGTTGCTTTTCAGCACGTGGGATCTTCCCAGACCAGGGACGGAACACACGTCTCCTGCACTGGCAGGCGGATTCCTTACCACTGAGCCCCCAGGGAAGCCCAGAATGCTCATTTTAACAAGTTCCCCAAAATTCTAAGAAGCACTGCCCTACATAGGAACACCCGGCTCTCACACAGGGCGTAACAGATGCAACGTAGATAGTCCCAGCACGTGAGGCACAGCGCCGCTTTTCAGTCTCACAACAACTCAGTAAGTACTTTTCAGTTCAGTTCAGGTCAGTCGCTCAGTCGTGTCTGACTCTTTGCAACCCATGGACTGCAGCGCAGCAGGCTTCCCTGTCCATCACCAACTCCCAGAGCTTGCTCAAATTCATGTCCATCGAGTCGGTGATGTCATTAGCACACTCGTTTCAGAATGAGGCATCTCAGACAGAGATGTGAAAGCTACAGTCTGAACCCACACAGTGAGTGTCAGAGCTGGTGCCTGGAAGCAGGCAGCCACTCCCAACTGCACCCTGGACCCTGCTGCCTCCCCAGCACCCAATGCAGAAACAGGCTCGCAGTTCCTGACGAAACCTTTTCTCCCGGCTGTGAATGCTTGTGAGTGCTCACGTCAGTTTTGCTGCCTTACCCCCACAAATACTGACAGTACTGTTGGGAAAAGACTGGATTTGAAATCCAAAGAATAGGCTACAAAAAATTGCTTTTGCCTTTCCCCCTAACCTTGGGCTGCCCCTTTGCCAGTGGATCCACATTTCCTTTTCTGTAAAGTGGATATACACAGCCTTCACGTGTTCAGAGGTGTTTCAGGGTTCTCTGAGGTCAGGTTGTGAGGATTAAATGAAATTATAAGTGAAAAACGGGCAAGCCTGACCTGTGACAGGTGGTGGGGACCCAGTGAGCACTGAGCTCGTTCCGCCCCCTCTCCAGTGATCATCACTGAGCACCCCCAGGACACCGGCCCCGCGCTGGGACCCGGGCGGGACGAGACAAACAAGCTGTGGCCCTGTCCCCCTACAGCTCTTCTCCGGGTGGACAGACGATCAGACGATTCACACAGAAGCAAACATTAGGAAGAGAGCTGCTAAGTAACTGATACTGCTGTGATTTTGAATGACAGCCTAACTTTCCTGAGAAAGCAAATTAGAAAATAGTGAAAGGCAGAAAAAGCTGAGTGGGCCATGAGTGGCAAGCATGAATATCCCCACATCACAAAAATAGCCAGAGAATTCCAAAACAAATTTTGAATGCAGAAGATCAAATAACATACACATTCCTGGACTATGTACATATTTTTCTTCTGCAGGGAAAAAATAAGGATATTTAACCCCAGAAAGAAGCATAACAATGAATATTAAGGTTTCAGGCTATGGGTATTCAAATTCAGAGCTAACACAGAGAGGGGCATGTCAGTAGACTCTATTGCCATTGTTTTGCTGATAAATCATCTGACTTTTTTTTTTTAAATCTGACTTAAGAATAGATTTCCATGGACCTGTAGATCCAGCAATTTTCAGAGGACCAGCAGCCTCCTATGGGAAGGCCACACCTATAGCCTCCCACTTAACCGTCATTAGCTCCCCAAAACATACTCATACAGGCACGCCTTGGGCAAACCAAGGCCTCTTTTCTTGCAGAATCAGGCTTTTATCACCTGCCCTGGAACCAAAAACAACCCAGGTGTCCAGTGATTCTCCTGAACATGGGACTTTTTTTTTTTCCATTTTCATTGAAGTACACTTGCTCTGCAACGCTGTTAGTTTCCACTGCACAGCCACGTGCATCAGCCCTGTGTGTGCACACATCCCCTCTTTCTCTGGATCGCCTCCCACTTTAGGTCAGCACAGAGCACAGAGGGGAGTTCCCTGCGCCGTGCAGCTGCTTCCCATCGCTGCCTGCTTTTCACAGAGCAGTGAGCTCACAGCAACGCCAGCCTCCCAGTTCCTCCCACACCTCCTCCCCCGTGGTGTCCATACGTGTTCTCTAAGACTGCATCTCCATTTCTGCTTCGTATGTCACACTGTCTATACCAGTGTGGTATACAGACAGCATGGCATATGACTCAGCCATAAAAATGAATGGAACCGGGTCATTTGCAGAGACACAGATGAACTCAGAGTCTGAGAAGTCAGTCAGAAAAAAGGAAAACAGATACTGTATATTAACGCGTACATGTGGACTCTGAAAAAGTTGATGGTGGTTCTTGCACTCACCAGCCACGGCTGTGGGATCTCGGGCAAAGGCATCTGGGGAGGGGCCGGCAGGCTGCTGGGGGTCTCCGGCTTCATGGCATGATCCTTCACTTCCAAACCTGCACCAAAACCACAAATCAGGATGAGGAAGGCTTGCTCCTTGGAAGACAAGCTGTGACCAGTCTAGACAGAATAATATTAATAAGCACAGACGTTACTTTGCCAACAAAAGTCCATCTAGTCAAAGCTATGGTTTTTCCAGTAGTCATGTATGGATGTGAAAGAAAGTAAAAGTCATTCAGTTGTGTCTGACTCTTTGCGACCCCACGGACTATACAGTCCACGGAATTCTCCAGCCCAGGATACTGGCATGGGTAGCTGTTCCCTTCTCCAAGGGGTCTTCCCAACCCAGGGATGGAACCCAGGTCTCCCACATTGCAGGCAGATTCTTTACCAGCTGAGCCACCAGGGAAGCCCAGGAATACTGCAGTGGGGAGCCTGTCCCTTCTCCAGCGGATCTTCTCGACCCAGGAATCCCACATGTCATAAACGGCCTCGTAGGCAGCCTGAGGGGCCTGGGGTTCACCCACGGGCAATCAGGTAGTGAAAGGATCCAGACGGGGAAGCAGCAGCATCACTTAAAAGTGAGCTTTCATCCCTACTTTTGTCTCTCTCTCTCTGGGCTTCCCAGGTGGCTCAGTGGCAAAGAATCCACCTGCAAATGCAGGAGATGCAGGAGACACAGATTTGATCCCTGCATCAGGAAGCTCCCCTGCAGGAGGGAATGGCAATCCACTCCAGTGTTTTTGTCTGGGAAAACCCACAGACAGAGGAGCCTGGCAGGTTATATAGTCCATGGGGCCACAAAGAGTTGGGCATGACTGAGCACATAGAGTTCTCTCTCCATCCGACTGGTTCTTTCGATCTGGCTGACCCCAAAACACCATCCTCATCCTGCACTTCTGTCTTGGGGACTCAAGCAGCTCTCATTCCACCTGGTCCCAAATCCTTGAACCCACCCCCCAGACTGACCAGCAGAACTTTCTGGAATGCCAATCTAACTTTGTCAAATCATGGCTTTGCATACTAAAAAGCAAAGAACTGCACATTCAGATGGCTGAAGTGCACGGCATGGGAATTATGTCTCAGTGAAGCTGTTTACAATAAACCTCTACATCTCATCCAGTTGTCTCCTGCCTTCAAGATTCTAACCCCGTATCCTCCAGGAACTGCCCCCGGCCCCTACCCCACTCACTCTCTCTCACTGAGCGGGTCTGGGGGCATCCTCCTCTCGGGCACTCTCCTAACACTGACGCTCTCTCCCCACTACTCTGTCTTACCCACCGTGCCCAAAGGAAGGACACAATAGGCTTGAGTCTGCTGTCTTCACCGGGGCCTGCGGGCAAGGCTGTGCCCCTGGATGGCATTGGGGAGCGTGAATTTCAGAAGTGTTTCCAACACTCCTTAATTGATATGGTTGGTCTAACGGTGCCTAGCCTAAACTGTTTGAGCAAACAACACAATCAATGCCAAACACCTGCTGCGATGGCTAATTCTGTGCGCCAACCTGACGGGCTCAGGGATGCTCAGAGAGCTGGCAGAACGCTATCTCTGGAGGCTTCTGTGAGTATGTTTCTGGGAGAGATGAGCATTGAGTCGGAGAACAGAGCAAAGAGGATGGTCCTCCCCAGTGTGAGTGGACATCCTCCAGTGTGCTGAGGTCTCGAATACAACAGAAAGGCCGAGGAAGGGTGGACACACTCTCTGGGCTGGAGCCAAGACGTCCATCTTCTCCTGCCTTCAGACACTGGTGCCCCTGGTTCTCTGATCAGGACGCGCACCGACAGCAACCCTGCTCCCCCACCGTCCGTTCTCAGACCTTCAGACTCAGACCGAATTACAGTCTGGTAATCACACCACCAGCTTTCCTGGGCCTCAAGCCTACAGAGGGCAGGTCGTGTCACTGCTCAGCCTCCTGAGACCACACAAGCCAATCCTTATCAGAGATCTCCTCTCCACCTCATTCTGTAGCTCCATGCGTCTGTTCCTCTGGGGAACCCTGACCAACAAACCTCCTTTCCTGTGAGTCTGGGATTTGGGTATGTGCCAGGCAGAGGTGGTGCGTAACAGTCCACGGGGTTGCAAAAGAGTCAGTCATGATTGAAGCGACTTAGCACTTGAGGCCAAAGGAGACTGGTAGAAACCAGACTAGAAGTCTGAGACAGGCGTACCTTTGGTTGACTGTATCCTCAGCAGGATGTCTGTGATGACTGCCTTCTTCTCCCTGACAGTTGAGGTGAGATACTCGTGGTCCAGGAGTTCAAGAAAGAGACGAAGTTCAACTATTAACTCTTCCATTGCTAAAAATAAAGGAGAGGAGAAGGGTACCGTGAGACCTGTCAATTTGCAAATGTCAAAATATGAGTGCAGAGTTTTACTCAAAGCACTTTAGGTTTAGCTTGATGGATGACTGGTTTTCCAACATGAAAAGCACGTGAGCTGAACAGCAGGTCATCTCAGAGGCTCATGCATCTTCTTCTAGACCGATGTGCTCCTCAGTCGCTCCCTGCTCTGAGGCGATGGTATTCAGCTGGGAGGAGCTCCAAAGCCACGCTGCCAAAGATGGAGTCACGACTCAAGAGCCTGACACCATCATTTGGTGTTAACTGCATGGTATTAAATTTCAGTGTCCAGAAGGATAGATGGGAGTTTAAAATGCCAAATAGTTTTCAGATAACCACTAGGATGTGGTTCAGAAACTCAACATCCAACCCTGTCCTTCTGCAGGGCTGCTCCCTCCCCAGGAAGGCTGATCGCATTTACAGTTACAACAAGGGTGCCGGGGAGGACCTCGATGTCAGCTCAAGTCCTGACTTCCGTCATGCCTTTCATTTCGAGGGTTAAAGCAGATTCTCCCTCTGACTCCCACAGGACAGGACCACAGGGCTGACGTCAGCAAGCTTCACCCCACGATGTGCACCTCTGAGAGACACCAACGCTCTTTCAGGGCATCCACGAGGTCAAACTATTTTCACGACACTGTGTCATCATTCATTATTTTCTGCACTAATGGTGCAAATGAAAGGGAGGTCACGCTATCGGCATCTTAGTGCAAATCAAAGCAGTGACACCCAACTGGACTCTTGGTCACTATATTCTTCACTTACACATTAGCGGTAAAAATAAACAAATAAAATTTATAGAATGCTACTTTCACTTAAGAGCACCTTTGATGAAGCAGTAAAAATCATTACTTTTATTAGACTCAGCTCTAGAGGAAACCTTTTTAACATGCTGTGTGGTGAAGCAGGAAGAACGCATGACAAGTGTCTGAGCCATGAGTTACAGGGAGCCACCGTCTTCATGCAGAAGAAGAAATGAAAGACGAACCACAATTACCCAGACCTGAGAATGTGACCAACATTTCCTCAAAAATGAACAAACCTCATCACGTCCAGGTAAACAACGACAGCATTTGTTGCCAAGGATACAATTTGCACTTCCAGGTGAAAATAAGAATTTCAAACACATGCATCCACCACTAGGAGCATGATGGCCTCTCAACAGAGACTTTTCCAGTGAGGTTGGGAATGACGCCGAGGAATGTGATCTCCTGGTGTATAATGCAGTGTATCCACATTCAGAAGATCTACACAACTTAGGAAACCATGATGTCATAAAATCACATGTCGGTAAAGATCCAAGTAATGTGCAGAATAAGCTGAAAACATCGTCATGTAACAGAGAAAACATCACCGACTCAATGGACATCAGTCTGAGCAAACTCAGGGAGATGGTGAAGAACAGGGAAGGCTGGTGGGCTGCAGTCTACGGGGTCTCAAGAGGTCGGACATGACTTAACGACTGAACAGCAATAACCGAGAGTAGGTGCTCTCTGACACAGCGTCAGAGACCACATTGCCACTAACCATTAAGAAACTACCACTTGCTGAGTTTCAATGTAGGGTCAAAGAATATCCACAATTTTATGGAAAGGCACTAAAATATTCTTCTGTTTTCCGAGTACATATCTGTGTGAGGCCAGACTATCTTTATGTACTTCCACCAAAACAATGGTTCATAACAATCAAAATGCAGAAACAGACACAAGAAACCAGCTTTCTTCTACTAAGCCAGATACTGAAGATTCCTGCAGAAACATAAACAATGCCACTCTCTCGCACACTACAGCACTTCAGTAAATGCAGTTACTTTGCATAAATATATTAATAAATATCTCAAAAAGCTTCCAGACTTAAACTCTAATATGATAAATATCCACAGATATAACCACACCAATAAAAAGTTCTTCTGGATTCTCGACATATATTTTGAAACCAAAAAGTCCTAAGCAAAAAAGTTCAAGAACCACTTGTCAATGGGATTCTTCCCAAATCTACTGAGGTCTACAACACCCTCCAGAAAAAAAGATCCCAACTGAGGCCACTCTTTTTATAACTACTAAAGTTCCCACAATTCTAGATAAGTGGGCAGGGAAATGGCAAATGAGTTCAGAGCAAAGGTGTGTCCTAGGTGGCTCACTTTTCCTGATTTCCCCTCCATGAAATGAAGAGGACGGAGGAAGCTAGTCTTTATGGTCTTTTCCATCAGGAAGACAATTTCCTGATGATTCTAAGTAGAAAACAATCTCATCTATACCTCAGAAACGAAGGGCTGCTAGTATTAATCATGATAGCCAAATACGTGGAAACAACCCAAACATCCTTCAGTGGGTGAGTGGATAAATAAAATGTGGTCCATTCTTACAATGACAAATGATTCAGCCTGAAAAATAAAGGAAGGTCTGACACATGCTACACCATGGGTGAACTCTGAGGACACTGTGCCAAGTGAGATAAGCCATTCGCGAAAGGGCAAGTGCTGCATGATCCCACTTGTGTGAGGTCCCCAGAGCCGTCAAACTNAAACGTTAAAAATGTTTATGGGTCTGTTACGCTTGCAGGACCCACTCTTCATCACCATCTGTATACTCCTTTATCAAAAATGCCTCTCTCACATTTGCCAGGTCATATTTATCCTGCAATTCTTCCCTGGGGTTTCGTCTAGCAGCATCAAAATATCTGAAGAGGACTAAAGACAGCACGTGCCCTAACCCATCTCCCTGTGCTGCCTTCACAGAGCTCTCCTTGGGGATCCACTGCAGGGTTGGGGGTTTCCTGGAATCACCACTGGGATCCTGCCCAGTCCATGCCCTGCAGAGAACAGCGTCCTCAACTACAAGCTAGACTCTGAACAGCGGCATCTACACCCCGGGCCCGGCAGGCCAGCCCCCAACCCCGCTCCCAGGTCATAAGAGCTGGACCGCCCTAGCTCAGGCTGGTCAGCCTTCCCTCTGTACATGTCGCCAGGGACCCAAACTATTAGTCAGCTGCGATCTCTGGAACTGAAGACGTGTGAACTCAGGAGCTACGGAGCTGCCATGCTTAGGCACCTACGTGCCGGGGAGTGAAAGTCATTGACAGAGGAAGAAAGCATGAAGTTACACCCTCGAGAGGACATGCAGATACTCAGAGGCAAGAGAGAGGACGCACCAGGCAGACAGGGTGCAGGATGGATTCCTGAGACCGTCTTGGAATTTTTTCAGTTACCTGTGAGCCTGGGCTGCACCTGAATTGCCTGAGATACGTGCATCCTTGTCATAAATCTTCATTTCATTGTTTACTAAGCTACTGTGTGGTTTTCTTTTCAACTGAAACTGCACCCAAAAGAGTCTCAAAGCAAAGCTCTTTTTCGCACCTCAGAATGCAAAACATTCCCAGATCAGACTAGAAATCATTAGAAAAGTTCCACATATCTAGGATATCCCACGGACTGAACAAACCCCATTTATCCTTAACAGGCCCTTCAAACACCCTCTCCCCTAGCCTTCTCTAACTTAACATCCCCAGCAAGCTCCTCCCAACTCAATCCCTCCCAAGTCACTAAATTCTTTCCTCTCTTACCAGCTGTGCTGATAACCAGGCGCTGACTGACCTTAAGATTTGTTTTTGTCCCTCAAAATAGCTAGTCAGCTGGGTAAGAGCAGGCTTTATGTTCTGCTTAACCCCGAGCACCTGCAGAGCCTAGCAGTAGAAGCCACGAAGAAGGCACGCGGGAACTGCTGCGGGGCAGGTGCCTGACGGTGGGAGACGGAGCGTCTCTGAGAACCTGTCGCGTGAAAGGCACTGTGCTCGGCGTCTCCGCGGGACACTTCATTCTCACAATGATGCCGTGAGGACTCACTCGGCCCCACAGACAGAGGGACCAGGGGCCAGGGCCCACCTGCTCCCCGACACGGCCATCACAGGCGTGGGACTCTATTCTAGCCCCTTTACACATATGACTTCATGCAGGCTCCCAACAACCCCAGGAGGCGGAAACTGGTCTCACCCCATCTTACAGGTGAAGAAACCGAGGCTCAGAGGTTGCCTAAGGTTATGAAGCGAATAAGTGTCTGCGCCCCTCCAGGTAACAATATGCTAACAGCCACCCAGCTGGAAGGGAGCAGGACAAGTCTGAACGCAGCTCTGACTACAAAGGCCCTGCTCCGACTGTTTCACGATAATCATGCCATGGGTGACCTTCTGAGACAACCCTGGCCCACTGAGCGGCAATGGCCATTTAAACAAACAAACAGATTTTATTGAAATGTTGATTCACAATGCTGTTAGTCTCAGCAGACTGACTCAGTTTTATATGTACGTGTGTCCTTTTCTGGATTACTTTCCATTATGGTTTATTATGGGATATTGCATATAGTTCCCTGTGCTACATGGCAGGTCCTTATTAGTGACCTATTTTATACATAGCAGTGTGCACATTGTAATCCCAAACTGCTGCTTTACCCTTCCTCCCTCCTGTTCCCCTTTGGTAACCATAGGTTTGCTTTCTATGTCTGTGAGTCTATTTCTGTTTTTGAAAAATGAGTAACTCCCCCAAATTATGTCATCCTTAAAATGAGATGATTATTATGTATCCCAGGATTGTAATGAGGACAAAATGAACTGACATCCACACAGAGGCAGGCATTTCACAAATGGTAGCTGTTACTGTTATCACAGCATAAGCTCATGTTATTAGAACTTCACTTTAAGCCTTGGGATCCATGGACACAGCAAGAGGACACAACCCACAACTTCCTATCTTCTAAAACTAGGAAGTCCTTAAATACCTACACACGATATAAGGAAAGTCTTGAAAGACTACTATGTACATATGCAAATACATCTGAAACTAAGTGAAATAGACAATTTCACAGAACAGAACAAAATTTACCAAATCATTACAGAAAGCTTACACAGGCCAATTTCCATAGAGGAAGCAAAGAAAGTTAACAAAGAACTAGGCTCACAAAAAAGCA